CTATGGCTATATTAGGACCTATAATGCTCAAATGGACGTTACCAAATTCTAATAAAAATAATCATATTTTTATACATGCAATGTACAAAAATATGCTGTGCCTTTTTTAGAGCAGCTGCTACCTAGCTAATTGTTATGAATATTTTACTTAAAAATACCAATATTCCAAGAACTAGACGTGCCAAAGAAATAACAAAGCGAAATTGAATATCAGGAGCAAAAAAAAAAAAAATTCCAACCCACGCAAAATGGTTTCAGGATGATTTCTTAAATTTTTTATTTTGTATGTATTTATTTTTATTTACTTTTATTATTTAATTATTTTTTTGCTTTTTTTGACAGTTTAATGGGCCTGTGACTTGGGTAGCCGTTCAAAAGTGAACTATTGATCCAGTCCTGATCATTATTTCAGCGATAAATAACTGATTGGAGACGATTCGACGACCAGGATTGCTGGCTGACGTTAAGTCTACCCTATTAATGATTTCTCTTAGAATTTTACGAAAAATTGCCCAGCGATGGCCTTCTATTTTTTTAATCAAAATGTTTCGTCCAATTACAGTTTCACTACTTATAGTGCGGCTAGTTCGCTTGCATACTGTAAGATTTCATTTTCCAGATGGAGTCGGAAACAGTACTATAGGAGCTAGACATTAAATGTAATAAATAGCTTAATATACTTCTCAACCGGTATTATAGGTTCAATTTGAAGCTACATCACGAGTTTTTAATCAATATCCGAATTGTGGTGCGTTCAAGTGTTAGTTGTTTACTATCATTGTTTGTTTACTATCAAGCAGATCCGTCTTCTTCATGATACTTTTCTTTATCATTTATATAACATTATCTTAGAATTATAGAGCTAGTCTCGCATGGCGCATGCATTGTCCCGAAAATCCTCCTCAATTCAAACGTTTTATATGTTTCCTGTGTTGCCAGCTCATTTTGAGGAACGCAAGCTGGATATGTATTTCTTTCAAAGTTGTGATAGGTTTTCACAGGTTTTTCACACTACACAGGTGATTATACTAAACATTGAAATATATATATGTTTTACGTTTTCCGAGAAATTTTCAATAAATTTCGTAAAAGAACTTTGAGCATATTCAAAGTGTATTTCGCAATAACATCTTGAATAGTTGAACAATATAAATTATTCTATGAGTTAGTTAGTGTACTTGAAGAGATTGTGGAATAAGTTGACTTATAAAAAATCATCTATAACACTGTTCAAAAAATCACCGTTAACAGTCATACCAGTATTTTAGTGGCCGGCCGGCACGTGAAAGAAACACCGTGTCGCCGTGTTTTTAATTCAACACAAGAAACATGTGCAATATTCGAAAAAAATAACGAAACTGTTTATTTTCACTAGATGGCCGGCCACTAGTGCACGAGTCAGACCATTTTTCACTGTTATTTCGTATAATGCAGTAGTTTTGATTGTATGCAATTGATGTATCGAGATGCATTTCTGGCAAAATATATACGTAGTATTCTTAGGAAATATTAACGTTTTGTGCAATGATGGTTGCGATATTAACGATTCAGACATTGCTCTAAAATCGCTTAGACCAATTCATGGAAGAACAGAACTAAAAGGAGCTTATTCGGCTCCTTTATTTATTTGTAGCTTTAAATGGTGGCATGACTCGCCATTTATCATCAGCGAATTCCCATTTTTGTTCGATTGTGATTCAAGTAAACCATGTTGTTAAAATACATTCTTCTTATTCAAACAAAATTAAAAATCTTCTATCGTTTCTCATATTTTTTATTCGTCATCTTACTAGTTGCAAATGTCATATTTGCAAGCGGTTGAACTCTAGCTGATTTCTATAACTTAAACGTTTATTCATCGAATCGCTTTCACACGTACGAATACTCTGCGTAACGCAACCTGACGAATTTCAATGTAAGCATCTTCCACTCATTGATTTAGCAAAATTAATAGTCTAACAGGTGCATCGTCTCACCAAAAAGTTAAGCAATTTTTTTGGTGCGACTTCGATCGTCCTTAATTTATGTATCTTTTTAGGATGTTAGTTTAAATATAATACTCAACTATAACTGTCCGTATGAGAGAAGAATTGAGGTGTTCGCTGCACAACGAGCACTGGTTCTGTGTGTTTTATTCGGCTCTTTCAATGCGCGTATGATCGAAGTCTCATGTACTGATACTGTCTCTGTCGTTTATCTTGTTAGCAATCTGAAAGAGGATTAACAACCTAATAATCGGTATTTGCAATAATATCCTTGACAGATTTTTTTTATTTTTGTGCTCGTAGTTAATGCAGAAGACGTTGGCCTTACTGCCGGTTAAATCTGCTTGCAGCAGCGGTGCGGTTAAGACAGGCTTCATCCACGTCTGATGCATCAGTGCTCGTTTGTTCTGATAGGACGAAATTATCCTCTTTGACAGGTCATTTGTTCTCGCCAACTCGACCGGTTTTCCTCGCTCTTTCGTTGCTGACAGTCAACAACAGTGGGTTTTTCCAATGCTGTCAAACTATATATTTACGTTCATTGTCCAAACCGATCATATACATTTTTCTTTTTCTTAATGCTCGTCGTTTTACTAACTCAACGTCATGTGACAGCAAGCAGAATTTCTTCAGTATTTGCTTGTGAGAAGCCGGGTTTTTTTCTCCCGAACTCGACAAGTAGAGTAGAGGAAATTTAACCGGTGCTTATTTGAACTCGACATTTAGAGCAACGGCCTTCTGTGACGTAAGTAAGCCGGTCGGTCATAACATTTCACGACTCCACTCATTTCATTATTGATTTTTAACATAATCTGACGCTAATCTTAGCCTAATAATATACTGGAAAGTAAAGATATACTTCCTACCAGTCTGCCCAAATACCACATAGACTGTCAATATTTTGTGGCAAATCTTCGTAGCTTGGATGCTAACGTTGGCTGAGTCTTCGGGTTTTTGCAGCGTTTCCTTCTGAGTTCCTTGCAAGTTGAGCTCAGCATCTGCCGGTCACATCACGTGTATGCTTGATGGCTGCCTACCTGCCATAACAAACTTATGCAGTTTATTTTTACCGAGTATTTAACGTGGAGGCACTCTTGATATGTTTGTGCTTGCGTCGGCCTCGGCTGCTCGCATGCACGCTGGGACGTAGACTCTGTACAGCACTTGACGTTCAGTATGATCTATGGCGGGGCCTCCATAGTAATTGAATGCAATAACATCGTCGCTGTTTATCTTCCTTGAATACATTGTCTGGCCTAGAACATGTTCATCGTCCTCTTGTAACCTCATAAATCACCTTTCGTATTCTAAGTAACCTGCACAATTCACATATTCGCATTCTTCCCACTTGTGATGAACGAGCTCTTCTCTTGCGTGCTTTTTCTTCCAAAGCTGCTCTGTGATTATCCATAGTGGTGAATTATTGCCCCATTTGCTTACTTAAAGTACCACTTGTCGATAGTTTTGCCCAGGAACTGAAATTGGTTTCATGTTGCCCTACCTTATTTTTAATTTGAGGCTAATAAATTTTTATATTTCAAGGAAGAATGCAAGTAGGCCCTCACTTAGAATTTGGCAACTCTTGTAAAATTTTCCTATGTTCTCATCTCGTTATTTAATTTTTCGTGTATCTACAAATTAGCACATGAACTTTCGAGCCAACAACATGAATTTAACGCTTTCTGGAAAGCTTGCTGGAATTTAGTTGCTATTTTGCTCACGGTAAGAAGAAATTGTACATCAGATTATTGAATTTTTTTAGTATCCTCATGAAAGTATCATGAAATTTATTGCTGAAGGATATTTTATTGTGTTATTTTTTATGCAAGACACGAAGATTCAGAATTTCGTCACTGAATATAAACATGCCTTCGTGTGACGTTGCTCATAAAGCAGGGTGAGATTATTAATAGAACGGTAGTTGTAAGTTTTTTCTGCACCTCGTTAGCGTTCTTTGGATAATTGATGTTTCAATTTTTCTCATATCAACTCATTACCTCAGAGTAATTAATTCTGATATTGTGCTTTATTTTAGTTTAGATTATTTCAAATTAATATACTACAGAAAATGTTTTTGTGCTACTTTCTATCTATCTACTGGAACTAATTCAAATTAGTTTCTCTGAGAAACTAATTTTCTGAGAAACAGGCAAGTCACTAAAATTAGTTTCTCTCAGAAGCTAATTTGTGTTCCTGAAAACAACTATCTACGAGTGATACTTTTGCTAAGCAGCTTAGGCAATAATTCTCCACTATGGATAATCACTGAGCTGCTTTGGAAGGAAATCCTCGCAAGAGAAGAGCTTGTTCATCGCTTTAATTACTTGTTTTTGTATTATTTTTGTGGATGTATATCCCCAATGAGGTGTTGGCTGGCCCATTACGAGGGTTTTAATCGATCAGTGCGTTATAATTATATTTTGAAAGATCTGTGTTTACCTGCAAGGTAGATAAACAATGTGACACTATTTAACATTAATTTTTTGGGATATGTAACTTTATTAGACATTGTTGGGAAAAAATAGTGTTGAACTATTTTTGCAATAGTTAGTTTCAATAGTTAATAGAAAAAATAGTTGAACTATATAAAATTGAACTCCAAAGTTTTTCTGTTTAGCATTCTATCTGAACTATTTCTTTCTTAGAGACTCTGAGCAAATTGACTGTTGTTATATTTTTTATAATTATATGCTGATTTTGTTATTAGGGAAATAAATCGAGTTGTTCTGTTCCGCAGGTATGGATCAGCCTGGCTTGGCCGCGATATCGTGACGAACTGTGACGCATGAGCGGCTCGAGCACCGCCAACTCACTCAGTTGTCCCCTGACTCCATAGAATATATATTCAATATGTTATACATGTTAACGAACACAAACCAATATGATGTGTGTTTTATCGAATTTGATCTAGTTTTTAAGTTATTTTCACTATATTTCAAATTTGCGTTAACTTCATAGATTGAAAATATGTTTAAAAGATAACGAAGATAACAGTTTTTTTATTTTTGGCGACGATCAGAGCTAAGATATGTGTAGTTCTTAATCAATTCGAAATGCATAGCATTTTTCGGTTATATTGTATATTGAGTGAACATATTTCAGACAATATGAGAAGACACGTCGATCTCCTTTAATATTTCTTCGAAATTGCGCACACGAATAAGATTACATAACTAACACTTATTTTCTCAGCAAGCACACAAAATGATTGCGATAATTTGAGATAACCGTGGTGTACGTATGAAATACATTATTATTGTATTTATTTAGGGCCTTGATCAATCAAAGTGCAAATTTTTCTATGAAATCATCACTGTATCTTTTATCTTGAATAATTTTATTACCATCCAAGTATCCCTTTCCTTAGAATGATCAGTCGAAGAACTGATATAAAGAACAGCTAATAATGGCATTACAGTGAGTGTTTTTGTTTAGTTAATAATGTTTATTTTAAATAGTCCATATAGACTTATTTTGTTGGGTTGGCCTCACGAGCTTTATGCCTCAAGAAAATAATTTCCGTCATAAGAACGAACATTCACTGGATAAAAATGTCTTGCTGTTGATTACGATTCTTATGCAGCGAACTGATGTACGATAACGATAGCTCGAATTATTCGTCTTGAGACTGCGTTCAATTTGGTGTTGAATCACTTAATCATCAACGCTTTCTTCTCGTGGCCCGCGCTTCACTCAGCCATGGCTAACTCCTGCAGGTGAGCGAAATAAAAAGTAAATTTTTAATACTAATACGAAATCAAACCGTAATATGTTGATCAATAGCTTCACTCTTAATTGCATTGTTTTAGCGCAAGGCTAGAAGTATTCGTTAAAAAACCAAACTCGTAAAAGTCAAACAAAATTTCCTCATGCCTTAAACACAGAAACTGACATTTGAACGCACACAGATTTTTTCATCTGCAGTTGCAGTTCGATATTATCGATCGCTGTACCTATTAAGAATGTTAATGTTGCAGATGAGATTATTTCTACATTCTTGTCAAGAATAAATCATGTAATCGAACATTTAGAATCGACAATAACTTTAACAATGTGTCTGAGATGCTTGCTTGCTACAGGCAAGTCACTAAAATTACCTTTTGATTTAACTGTGAAGATAAGCCGTAAAAATGAGAAATTGATATGTTGTCCGAGCGCCTGCTTGCCAGCTGCTTGCTTGAATTTTACTGTGTTGTTCGGCACGCAAGTTCTATGATTTTTTAGGCGTCTCGAACGCGGACTCAGGTGATGGACGCGTAGACACGGAAAAAACTCCCAAAAAACCTTTGACGTTCATTTTATCTGCATTGCTTCAGCTTCAAATACGAATATCTTTTTGCGATTGCAACAGACGCGCGCTGTGGGGTTTCTCATCACTAATGTGCTGAGCATCAATTAGTTGGGAGTTTTCCGTGGAGGATAAAGTGTTCATTAATTATTACCTTTGAAATAAATGTGAGGATGACTTGCAGTCTTTGACTGGCATGAAACGAAACATCGGCCGGCAAAATTTTGTTTAAAGGGTTTAAATTCTAGCTATGGTAGTGTTCATTAGATTTAAATTGATGGAAATGTTATTCAATCATTCTTGAATATGTGAACCCTTTCTGGACCTACATTTTGAACAGAAACAGAGGCTAAAATTGGTTCTTGAAGTACGTCCAATTTAGTTTTTTTTAATGCCGTTGGAACGTATTAGAAGGATATGAGTACTATAAATAAATGATAAAATGGTAAAAGATTCCATTCAAGTGTAATTTAATTAGTTTTAGGTCCAATAGCTCACGGCCCTCAATGAAACTCCCGTATCTAGTTTTTCCAATTGACTTTAACAATCATTTTTCATTTGTACTTCTTTTTCGTATCTGTCAAGCCGAGTGGTATAAATCAGCTGGTGTTTTGTACTGATGGTGTATACCATAGTGTATTCATTTATTGACTTGGACATTGTTTAAATTGTAGAGCTACATGTTGCTATCCTATTTTTTACCACAACTGAGACATTTTAGTAGTGATTTACTTCTACTTCACTTAGGTCTACGTGCTTTGTCTACTTCTTCAGACCATGTGATTTTGAGGGTCGACAGTGATCGTTTCTCCAACATACCACGCTTCACGAGTGGCCGCGTACAACTTGTCGTTGATGTGCGTTCTCTGTGTCACCGAGCGACGGCTATAGGCAATCTGCTCTAATGAGACGCTTATATAGCAATGTTCTGCACGACACTTGTACTTACACAAGGAGTAACGGCAACTTCGTACGCCGGTCGACTCTGCCAAGTCCCGCAGGCGTAGCGACTGTCATACGTAGCTCTCAGAAACCATCATGAGCTTCTTGGCAAAATAGACTTGAAGAAGCGCATGAGATTTTAAGTTTGCTCGAGAAGTCCGTGAGCGATACTAGTCCGCTTTTCCGGTGCTGATTGGGTGGCATCCTTTTCCTATCCGATGGAATTGATTTTGTTGTCTAATGAATGATTATAAATAGACGTGAAGAAGCGCATGAGATTTTAAGTTTGCTCTAGAAGTCCGTGAGCGATACTAGTCCGCTTTTCCGGTGCTGATTGGGTGGCATCCTTTTTCTATCGGAAGGAATTGATGTTGTTGTCTAATGAATGATTAGTTGTTAACACTTCTCTCACTGGTCTTAGTCTTTCTTAAATTTTCTGCCATTTACGAGTAAGTAATCTCACGATTGGTAAAGTTTATTTAATGAATAACAAAAATATGTTAATTTCCTTATGAGTTATCATTGTATTTATTTAGACTTTGCGAATTGGATCATATCAAGCGAAATTACTGGAGTTTGCAATCTTAGAAATATCTTATTTGTATTTTCGAAACCTCCTACTTTAGTCTGTTTATTTGAAGCCTGACCCTTGCAATATATAGGTACTGTTTAAGCACTCATCTATAAAGCTTTTTATGCTGGGATACTATCGAGGTCGATTTTTTTTTCAGCGGCGGAGTCAGAAAGAATCGCAAAGGTCTAAAAAGAAATAATTGGAACTCATTTTGAAACTTTATATGTGGATTTTTTCACAAAATTTCTTCCAATTAGAAAACTATAGTTGAATGATGGTTTGTGCAAGGCTCTCTTATTCTATACCTATATCATCAGTTTGATATATATTTTGATATCAGAGAAAGCGATTTGATAACGAGAATGGAAGCGAACGGTTTACCTTAATTTAAGGGATTATCGATCCCGATCAATGTCGCGTTAATTCGTTAGGAATATATCAACCTTTCGCAATCATTGTTTATATGTAATAATTATTTGCTACCTCAAAATTCTGTGCATTATAGATAATTTAAATGTAATGGATTGATGCTTGCCATGTTGCGGCCAAATTTGGAGCTGTGAGCAGACAGACAATGTTTTTTTTTTTTAATCTGTAGTTTTGTGATCATTGTTTTGGTGCTGCGCAATCAAGAAGCCACACAGCACGCCATCAACTGATTAGATTTATCTTAGATTATCTTTTAGACGTAAAAATTTCTAGGAGGCACTCGTCTCGCTGATGTCTGCCGAGTCTTTATCTCGACCTGTCAATGATTGTTACTCATTACTCTGTCCAGAGTCCAAGTCTCGTTTCATTTGCGACTGTGACTTCTTTCTAGCCGCTGCCATGCACTCATATCATTAGAAAATCATTGTATTAGTGATGCTATTTGAGCGGAATTAAGGGTAATCATTCCGAAGTTCGTTGATAAGCCTGTGTGTAGTGGACAAAGAACGGTGTCATGAAATTGGAGAAAATTTTTAGTGCAGTGCAACGGTGTTTCTTGGACTCACGTGAGCGTTGAAAAAGTAAAAATTTGTGTGTGAATATGTTTTTAGTTCTATTTTGTCAATGAAGTAATTTCTTGGGGGCGAATTCTCAGGTAAGTTAACAGCGTGAGTGTTTTTTCCTGTTAACAAGTGATGGTTTTCTTGCACGTAACTGTACTGGGAATATTACTTCTTAAATGTACGTACTGAAGGAAAAGTTAATGTCTGCATGCGAAAAGTAGAGCGCAATGGGACATTGAGGACAGAGGGACATACAATTATTTATACATGAATTGGCTATATTTATTAAGAGTTTAGGGTAGTAATGAAACACAAGTCAGTGCATAGATTGACGTGGTAGTGCGAACTGTGGTACCCTCAAAGATATAAATTAATTGATCTCTCCCATTGTGCTCTTTTTTCTTCTAGAACCTTTTGTCGCCCGACAAGCTTTTGGACAATTAATGACTCGTGTTGCAATGAAATTCTGCGCTGGATATCAGAAGATTTTACTGTTTTTCATAGGGTATTGTTATGGCTGCGAATGTTGAACTTTCGTAGCCAAAGTTGTCTTTTGGCGAACGATCTCTCTCTCTCTGGTCATCAGATGTATTTAGAGATTGTAAGTAGTGTTACAGAAAATGTATTTTCTCAACTATTATTCGGCCAGTTAATTTCGCCCTAAGTTGAGTGATAATTTTTTAAGGTATTTGTTTCCTTGCACATCGCTTGTTAGTTCAAATTGAAACTATATATCGCTGTTCGTCGCGAGCCGTACGTAAGTCTATTGTTTTTTTTTTCGTAGTTATCGGACGATTGATCAAGATATATTTTTAACCAGTTGATACTACGTGGATGCGTTTCTTGATGGTTGCATTTGTCTTACATTCCAAGTGTGTTATGTAGACACAGGCGATATAAACTCGTGTCTAGATTGCTTACTTCGTTTTCCACTGGCGAACGGTTTTATTCTATCGTGCGTCTGATGCTCTCAGTGCACAGTTTATTTTATCCTCTTTTGTAAAGGTATAAGACTGGAAATTATTCCAGTTTTTTTTCATCATTTTAAAGCCAATCTTTCTTGCGCTGTCTACTGAACTACAGATACCGGTACTAGAAATCGTGTGTGCAATCAAACATAAAATCCGCACTCAAGTAATGTTACTTAATTATAATAATAATATTAACATCAATTAATATGATATTTGAAATTTTAAAGAGCAATCAACCCAGCCTACAAAGTTTGACGAAGATTTGCCAGAGAGGAGCGAGCATTGTTATTAGTTACGTTGTATAGCTACCTCGTGCTTGTTATCTTTCAGAAACAAACGTGAGGGTCGAAGGTAGGCGTTATTTTTATAGCTTGCTGCGTTGTATTGACGATCATTGGTCGATCAAGCTGCGTTGTATTGACGATCATTAATTGGTCGATCAAGCTGCGTTGTATTGACGATCATGTCTTGCGAAGTTGCATAACGCAGGCTCCAGTCTAGGTCGTAATGAATAGCTTAACCGCGTGGGGGCGATTCTCGTGACTTCACTCTCATGTACATGCGCCCTATTCTGCATCATTCACATCTGCTCAGGATCGTTAAGTTTACGGTCATAAAAACTTAAATCTGAATGCGTTCATGTACTCATAAGCTATAAAATCTTCATGCACTGCAAAGCTATAAAACCTGGAACCATGACCGCCGTAAGTTCGTTTTAAGCTCGACGATGTTGCGATATGAGCACTCTTTTACGAGCCCACTGACGATGCCTTCCTTTTCTGTAGGCTTTAACTTATCTCATGAATAATTCATCACTGAGCAACTGTTGTTCATTTTCATCGAATGTGTACTGTTGTTAGACTATTACTTCGAATTCATAATATTTTAAAATAAATTTTTAAATATAGCTAGTCTCAACTTATGCAGCAATACTCCACAATGTGTGATG